AATACTTTATTTTGTTGAAAAAGAAAGTATTTTTTCTACAACATGAAAAGAAATAACACATTTTGTTGAATGAAATAAAAATACTTTTTATTCATCATGAAAAAAAGCACTCGTTTTGTTGAAATGAAAGAAAATACTTTTACTACATCATAAAAAGAATATACCCATTTTGCTGGGAGAAAAAAAAACTCAATCTACAACATGAAAAGAAAGTACTCTTAATAGTAGTTCTATTTAGGGTGGGTGGTGGGTGAGGTTGTGATGGATGGGGATGGGGTGGGTGTGGTGGGGGGTAGAGGTGGTTTGGGGGTTGGTTGGTGGGGATGATTAATATGGTGGAGAAGGTTGAGAAAGAGTTTGGAAAATGTTTCTCCTTGTTTTGATAGGAAAATATTTTCCTCCAATTGAAGGAAAATGACTTCATGAGGAAAATATTTTCCAAAATATTTAAGCCAATCAAACATGAGAAAATTAGAAAAGTCATATCGTAAAGGATTAAATGATGCAAATTGCAATGTTTCCACATTCCACTTTCAATGCTTTAATTTTGAATTTCAGGCTTCTAAATATAATTTAAGTATAGATGTTAATTAACCGATGAAAATTAGACTCGCAAATACAAAAAGGGTTCTACTGTTAAAAAGTTAAAAAAAGGAGAAGGAGAAACAGAAAGAGAAAGAGAAGAAGTAAGGGGTTTTAAACCCAAAATTTTCTCATTTCCTATTATATAGAAGAGGCAAGTGAGGTCGACCAAGGGCATAAATGTAATTTCGCTATGCCATAAAGTGTTGTGCTCCATTCGACACACTACAATTGGTCTAGAACCATCTCCTCTTCCATCTCTTTTATTTCAACATAGCAGAGAAGTACCCTTTTTACATCTTCAGACTTTCAAAAATACTTTTATCTCTCTTCATTTTTTCTTCCGTCTCTTGCAATTCCAGGTATGATTGTCTCTCAATCCTCTTTCTATTCTTTTTTTCTTTGCCTTTTCGACATCTCTTAACAATTTTTAATTTCATGGCTGAATTTTTGGCTGTTGTTATCCTATTGTGACATTATTATGTCTATAGAGGGAAGGAGAAATAAAAATTTTGGGCTGAAATTTGTTGCTTTGATGCGATTTCTCTTTCTATTTTTTCTGCGTCATGGTTTATTTGAAGTTCTCTTCTAACTTTTTGTTTTCGCCTAAGAAGTTGAAAGTAGAGAAAATCAAACCAAAATACAGTACCAAAGCAGACTATAAGTTCTCTTATTCGGAGAAACTCAAGGAAAATAGGAAATCAAAATGCATTTCAGAATGCCTATCAACATAAATCATACTGTCTTTTGGAGATGATCCCATGGACATGTGATCCTGAATCAGATTCCATATTCAAAACTTTTCTCAATTGTTACTTGTATTGTTGTTTCAGTGGAAGACACATCAGCCACTCCTGCATCTCTCACTTATTTCTACATTCATTTACTGGACACGTTCTCATACTTGCAATTTGCATTCTCATCACACACTGATGATAGTACGATGGAAAAAGTAATTCTCCATTTTCATCACCCGTCAATTTCTTCCAGTCCCTTCATATTTACTAATTCTCTCTTGCAATCATAAAAATAATCAAATTGGAAAAAAAAACTGACAGAAGGGCTAGGCGCTGCAAATTATATAGACTGGTGTCGCCAGACAAAAAAAATCCTTTTTAATACAACAATGAGCGAATAGAGCTGAATTAAAAGATGGCTTTTCTATGACAATGCTACTATTGCAATGTTGCAATAACACTCTATATAGATGAGTATAATTAGCGAAAATGGTATGATTCGTTGGAGTATCCTAATTCCAGGTTCAATCTGAACTAAAAAAAATAAACAATAAAGAAGTTGCCATGTATAAATCCTCAACATATGTATTATGCAGTTTCTCTTTATTCTTTGAGTAGCCATTTTGACTTTAGCACTTTTACATGTTAAAAGGATAATTTGTATCTCTGCAGTAGAACAGTCACGTCCGATGGCTCTAAGCGTTGGCTGCACAATATAGAAGCCTAACAAATGGTAAGGTTGACGTTCTGACTGACATTGTCACTTTTTCATTTTAAGATTTTGTTATTTTGGTCTTTTGCTTACATTTTGTAGTTACGCTTGTTTCCTTTAAGAAGATTTTTATGAAATTCAAGGTTGCACGACAGAGAATAATGATAACTTGAAGCAGGTTTATCTATTACATGAATTTTGTGATTATTTCTCATTTTCATTTCTTCTACTGTAGGGACACTCACTAAAATACATACCCTGCATTTTGATGTTACGAAGTTAGGGGAAAAATTTATCAATATTAATTGTGAAAAAATTACGCTTAAAATATCAGCATCTCCTAATGGATAGTTGCATAAAGCACTGATGTATATAATCCAGTTAGATGTACCTCCTTTAAGAGAGTGGACTAATCTAGAATTCTGAATTTTAATCGATCCACCAATCCTGCTATATGTTAAACTACTATATGTTGTTGCAACACATTCTCTCAGTATATTCTGTCTGATTGATTTGGTGAAAAAAGTTTCCTTTTCTTACTCTACTTTTGAGATTTTTTTGGTTTCTTTGTTTGCTTTTTTGGGGATCGCGGTTGGAGGGTGATGAAAACTAGAGTTTGTTTTAAGAATTTCTTTTTAGATATTTTTAATATGTTGATGTATGTGCACCAAATTGTATATTTGCTTTTTTTCTTTTTGAAGCATGTTCTCACTTTATCATTACTTTTTTCAAACTTACTGGGTGCACTAATTTACCTTCGATATTTCTCTTTTGAGGAAATGAAAAAGAGAATTAAGGCTACTAATATTTAAATGTTTATCATTATACTAGAAATAAAATTCTTAAAAGGTAATATAAGGTTAGTATGTTAGAGAACTCTATAAATTAAAATATCTCGGATACTTATACATTTCTTTATCTACCAAAAGATCCATTATTAGAGGGTGGATTGTATATTTGATTCCTTATGAAGGTTGTGGTTAAAGATGGTACAAACTCTTTTGAGGATATATATGAAGGTATGCCAAACTATCATTCTTTTTCTCTGTAATTGACTGCTTTGTTTATGCTCTATAATCTTTTAAACTATAAACAAACACGCAATCTGCAAATGCCAATGATTTATGCATCAAATGAATTGATACTTTAACATAATCAGCTAGATCCTTTTTAAGTTGTGAGCAAACATATTATCTGCACATGTGAATGAGTTATGTGTCAATTGAGGTGATGCATTAACTTAATTAGCTAGATCCTTTTTCTTACCACTAAATTTTTCAAGGAAAAGTGATGGGATGGTCATGGTACACATTGGCAATAAAAGATATATGGCATTTATGCTAACCAACGTTACTTGAGGATGTATATATATGTTTATATTTGAAGTTAAAGCCTAGAAGCCAGCAACATACTTTGCTAATAGTTTTGGACTGCTCATCCTATCCAGAACTCAATTGCAAGTAGCTTCAGTATTCCATCTTCTTTCAAGAAAAGCAATTGATTGGCATCAACCTATCATCTATGCGGCAGTTGTGTTTATAAGTTTCAAATATAGTATTAGGTTATCATGGTGATCCAAAATGAATAAGCCTCTTCTCCTTGATTGCCCATATTGTACGCTTCTGTGTTCAAGAATTTAGAACTGACATGTCAAAGGAAATTTAAAGAACAAGGCAGAAATATTGTCCTATTCTTTTCTTGTTCTTTCTTTCCTTCCTACAATTTTTTTATACACATATATTATATGGACATTGACACCTGACAATTCTCATCACTTCACAATTATACAGGTGCGAAAGTTGCAAAAAGGACGACTTACCACAACACCATCAATGCATTAAGCATCAAATTTTATGAATATGTAAATAGTATATATATATGGGGCAGCTCAAATATTTTTAGATATATATATATATCTAAAAAGTGTATATGTAATAGTAAGTTCATGGCAGTAAAAAAATGTGCTACTTACAATATTTCGTAACTTGATTTTGTTTCTAAGTGCATCAATGATATGAAGGTTCGCGGATATGAAGAATATATTTTTTGGCAGCCACACTACAGGCATGAGTGCAAATTTTGTTCGAAAATAAATATAAATTATTTCAAGCTGTTAATTTCATCACTGAGAATATTGGGCCCGTGCTTACGGGCCATAACCATCTAGTTAAAAAAGGCATTTATGCACAAAACTAGGCAAATAAAGCGAAGATAAAATAACTACCGGCACAAAACTACCCTATTCGTAAAAATCACCCTAGTGACTATAAGGATAAAAAAATATCTAATTTAGTGTAAGAAATTTAGATATTAGTTCTTCAATATATTTTGATGTAAAATAGGCATATTTAGAAAGTGCTTACAAAATTATTACTCCTAAAACAACAATTTTTCGTGAATAATTCAAAGGAAAATATAGTGAAGTAAAATTGATTGACTCTCCAACTAGTTAATTTTATCTTTTTATAACCACTTCAGAACTCAATGACATTTTATTAATATATTATTATACTATTTAGTAATTTTTTTTAATTTAAACAAAGACAAATTTATGAATTCAGATTCATACATCTTAATTTTAATAAAAATAAGTGAGATATATTTATGCTAAGTTTTTATCATTTGTTACTATATTTGCGATGTTCATGCTTAGCTTTGAATATTCATAAATGGTTCTTATTGTTAATTTAATTAAATACAAGAGATTTTGATACTCACTATGAGTATCGAATTAATTCGTGTTTATTCAAGTTGGCCTAACACCCATATTTAAGAAAAAAAGTACTACTATTAATATTTAATTACTATAAATATCAAATTCCACGATTATTGAAAATTAATTGGTCCAATGCAACAAGGAACTGAAGGCCAAGGTGCCTGGAATTCTTGCCGCTTTAAAATTGGGCCAAGTAGAGAATGCCACGTGTATAGTAAAGAAAACAAGACTCACTACATGCACATATTGTGCCCAACCCGCTTTGCCTTTTCAGTTTCTGAACAAATTTGTTGCATTTTCCATTTTTTTCTTCGCACTCTTTCATCTCTTCTTCTTCTGTGTATTGAGGCATACGCAACAATGGCACCCAGAGGCAGACCCAGAAAGGTTTGATGAATTTTTCAGCTTTTATTCTTTGCTTTAGTCTGTACTCTTTTCTTAACACTGTTGTTTGGTTTTTATTGGCAGCGATTAGGCCGAATAGACGCAGCAATTGATGCCATGACACCTTTCGGCTTTGATGAATCGCTAGTTCGGAAAACAGTGAATAAACTTCTCAAGGTAAGCGTTAATAATCTAATGTAGCTGGTTAAGTTTCCCCAAAATAACGCCCTGTTTCATCTGGGATTTTTGGGGCTTAATGAAGTGGATTAGGCGAGATTTTTTGTTTTTTTTATCGTTACTGCTTTCAGGAATACGGCGGAAATGAGGGATGGGCCTTTATTGAGGATTGTGGCTACAAAGAACTCATTGAAGCTATACTTCGCGATCTAGAGAGCAATGATGAAGGCACTACTAATTTACAAGAGGTACAATTGCTCCGGAGACTTGAGTCACTTTTGATGAAAATATTATTTTGGGGAAAATGTTTTACTAAGAATTCTTCTGTGTTAATTTTTTTCCTGCTTTGGTTGGATAGATACAAAAGTAAATGACAATTGTAAGAGGAGTCGATAGGGTAGGAGGAGTGTGTTTTTGATGATAATTTTTGCTATTTTAGTTTGACCACAATGTCGAAATGTTGATTAAAACAAGTAATATGAAGTAACGATGTCTGTGTTGATTGAAGCAAATACTAAAAATAATTCCATCAAGGAAAATATATTTTCTGATGAAACATTTTTCACCTATATCAATTAATAAGTAGCTAAGTTCATACTGTTTGATTCTGAAAGGAGAAAAGTTTGTCTATGCAGTTTTACCTGGATCCATTCCTTCAATATTTTTATCCAAACTGGAAATGAAAACGTTGCATTTACTGGAAATAAAAATTGATTTCTCTGTAAACTCCTATTTAAGTAATTTATCCTAACCTATATAAGCAAATTGGATAAAATCATCTTACCATATCGAAGTCCTTTATGTAAGCTATACAAGAAGGGTAGGAGTCAGGACTAATTCTGTGCAATGTATATTTACAAATAAAATTGAGGGACAACTTGCTGATTGTTATTCCATTTAATTTGTTCGACGTGAAACTATTCTAGTAAGGTGTAAATGATACAATAAGTTGATATGGATTCTGTGCGGTAGGCTACTTTTTTTTTATCGAAGGAACTGAGTGAAATGCTTGAGAAGCAAAATAGTACCAAATATAAGTACTTCTCTTATGTCATAAATGGGTAATCATAGACTGGTAGTAGTATCTTTTTCTTCTTCTTTACTCCCTCCGGTCCATAATAAGTGACCAATTTGCTTTTGGCACGCCCATTAAGAAAATACTAAATTCAATACAAAAATACCTAGTATGACTAAACTACCCTTAATTAAATATTAATGTGAGGAGTAAGAAAACTTTTAGGGATATGTACATAAGGGTAATTTTGTAAAAATAAATTAAATTTTTTCTTGATTATATAAATGGATACTTATTTTGGAACAAAATAAAAAAGTAAATTGGTCACTTATTGTGGACCGGAGGAAGTAGTATCAAGGATTACTATAACTCATATCATGTCATTTCGATTCAAGTTGCAACTGCTTGACTTGGAATTTCATTGCTTTCATCTAAGAGTATCAAATTCAATAAATTAACTGTTATTCAACTAATACCAAATTAATCTATTATGGGTAATAAGAAGTGGAGATAAGAAAAATAAATATCTTGCAGACTGTAAATAGGAAAGGAAAAAAATAAAAATAATCACATCAATCCCTTTCTGAACTGGAAATCAGCTAATAAAATATATCTGTTTAAATTGTTAACAAAATTCTGGTAGAAATATAGTTTCAAGAAAGTATTAAAAGTTGGAAATATTCCTTTCAGTTATTTTGGAAAACTCTTTCTTCTAAGGAGTTATGAAGTGGGAATTGCATGTTAATGCTTGATCTGTGAAACAGATGTTAATGTTTGTCTTTATTGAAGCATCCTGCATACTGTATTCTCGTGTCATCTAACTGTTGGAGTAATTTTCTTCATGTCAAGTGGAGTCCACTGCCTTAATTTTCATTGCTGGTGCGCTTGGTTACTTGAGCTTTTCATGTATCATCTCCCATATTTACAGTAACTGTGGTAGTCCATCAAATGGTCTCCTCTGCTGTGGGACAAAATGGTTCCTCAAATCTGTTAAGAGTACGTAAAACATCTCATTTAAATCGATATAGGTGGATCTTACTGCTAACTTAGGCTGCCCTAGTTGATCAGTACGAGCACCCGCACGAAAATTTTACAAATTTTTGGAAATTAATAGTAGAGCATTTTTCCAGAAATGATTTTCTGTGTCACAAACAACTTACACTTAGAAGTTAGAACTGCTTTTAACAGTGTTCATTTATATACCCTGCAGGACTGCACTAATAATGAATGTGTATCTGTGATTAAAATATATCTCATCACAATCTTTCATGAATTCCAAGGTTGAAAGTATGGTTATCCAAAGCTTGTAGTTTCCTCTTCTGCATTGCTTGCAGCGGCGGATTGGCACATTCCAAAAGTTTACACTATGAAGTATGCAGACCTATATGCATATGAGCTGCAAATCTAGCACTTGATTGTTGAGGTGGTATGAGTCACATCCGAGTTACTGGGTGTGCCTTGTTCTTGACAGAGTCGTAACAGTACTTACTTTTTGAATCTTTGGGTGGTGCATAGAGAGTTTATCATGTTTACAATCATGATTACCTAAGGAATGAGTACAAAGATGGAAGCTTGCCTCGTAGAATTTGTTAGAATAACTTTTGTCCTTTATTCTGTTCAGCAACATGCTATTTATTCTGCTTAGTCTGTTTTTCGTAATTGATTAGAGCGTAGTAGGTGATGCAGTCACCTCTTTCTTCTCTTGTCGTGTTTATATTATTTCTTACATTACTCTCCAGTGCTTTCTCTTAGAGGAATTATTCTAGCTCATTACACTTACCTTCCTTGGTCTCTCAGAACTAAAACAAGCATCTTAGTTCCCAGCTTCGTCTGAAATCCTCTCCTGGTCTTGAGATTGTCAGCTGTTAACAATAAGAGCTGCTTCTGAATCAAGTCCCCAATAAGCAATTAAGTATTCTTTTTTTTGCAAATGCCGAAAGACTTCTATCTCCACCCTTGTCCTCTGTATGATCCACCAATCAATTCCTAGATGGTCTTCTGCCTTTTTTTATTTGTTTGTACTACAAAATAAAGAAGAAAAAGGACATTTGTATTTTTTATAGTCAAACTCCAGGATCTTTCTTTCACTTTTGAAACACATCTATAGTTCTACAACTACTAGTTTAAACTGTATGGTATCTTTAACTACACAGGGCCATTTGCTATCTTCCTTGTATTGTATTTTTCAGGGAATCTCTGCTCAGGGTACGCTTAGTTGTTATTCCAGTTAAGCTTGTATAAATAGGAAATGAGCTACATGCCTTATTTTCTGAATTGCAGTGACTGCCTATTATATGAAATGCAATGATACAACAACAATGATACTGATGAACAATTTTCACCTCTTCTTCAATACTGATATGACTGTTACTGATACAACTGCCTCTAGCATTATATGCATATGCTAGAATAGCTGAAGACCTTGAATTCCTATAACAGGGTGTCTCCTCACAAGACGAAAGAGCAGTAGAACCTGCTTTACAATGCACCATTAGTCCCTCCAGCACTCTTGGTGATTTCTCATGCAATGAAGCTGGCAATACTGTAGGAGAAACAGCATGCTCTGAGCTTGTCAATGCAGTAGGAGAACCAACACACGAAAAGCTTTGCAGCAACAGACAAGACATTAGCAATACTGGTAAGGATCTGATTGTCTGTTCAGATTCTGCTTCTTGATCTGTGTAAAATTCTCTGTCTATGGAGTAGTCATTTAGCTGCCAACTAACGGGTATCAGTTTAACAAAGTAAAAAAAATTCAGCGGAGCTAATGTGTGAGTAGCATGCATCAAGATCAGATAAACCAATTTAGTATACTGTATACCAACAGATTAGGGAAGATACAATTATTTTCTAGTGAACTGCAGCATTTTCATTTTTTGCAATAGTTCACGGGTTCGAGCTGTGGAAGCAGCCACTAATGCTTGCATTAGGTTAGGCTGTCTACATCACACCTCTTGGGTGCGGCCCTTCCCCGGACCCTACATGAACGCAGGATGTCTTGTGCACCGGGCTGCCCTTTTTCTGTTCACTCGTGAAAGTTAAAATTGTGCTTCTTTTTGTTTTTGAAACAGTATAAGGTGCCTATGTGACTTTAAGGTCCATATTTCTAACATTTCCCTAACAACCCCGTTTTGCAGAAGTATTTTGTTCCCTGCCAGCTGAAGGAGATGGAAATAGCTGGAAAGACGTAGGGGAGGACCAAATCTCTACCCAGAAGGAGACAGCTGATGCTGTTTGCCCTGATGGTCGAAATTCTGGGAATGAAGTGCAACCCGGGAGCAATGCTCATGTTTTTGCTCTACCTCCAACTCATTCCCCATGCCCAGTTAAATATCTCAAAATTTGTTCTGAGAGTCAAGTGCAATCATGGAGTTTCTCTTATGTTTCTAGTCCACTTCCAACTCCTTCCCTATGCCCAGTTAGACGTCTCCCTCCCCCTGCTGATCATCACACCACAGCTCTTCCTTCCTCAAAGGTACAATTTTGAATTTGCTACGAATTTTACGTGAATTTTGAGTTTGCTATGATTCAGTAGCCTTTTAAACAATGTTCATGAGAAGTCATGATGTAAGCATTATGACTTGAAAGTTCCGTTTCAACCTATATCAACTGATACATTCATACTGTTTGATCATGAAAGGGGTTAAATCTGTCTATTCAATTTTACCTGGAACCATATTTCAGTATAGTTACCTACCCAAGTTACATTACATTGTTTCTTATACAAAGTGGAAAAGAAATCCTTGTTGTTGGCTGTGTATTGTGTCATCTAAGTTTTTTGATGAATAATTGTCCTGAAGTCATGCTGAGTGACTGAGTCTACTGCCCATTTTTCCTCATTGCTGGTGTTTGGTTGCTTTTGCCTTTCATGTATTATCCCCCGTGTTTACAATAAACTATGATAGACCATCAAATGGTGTCCTTTGCAGTTGGCATAAATGGTTCCTAAAATATGTTAAAAGTTACATAAAGCATCTCATTAAAATCAATATAAGTGGATCTTACTGCTAACTTAGGCTGTCCTTTGCATTTGGTGTACAGTATGAGCATCCCCAGTCATTTACAAATTTCTTTGGACCTTCATACTAGAGTATTTGCTTGCGAATGATTTCCTGTTGCACAAATAAGTGAGACTTAGAAATAGAATGCTTTTAGCAGTTTGGATTCAAATATCCTGCAGGGCTGCACCAATAATGGATATGAATTGGTGATTCAAGTATATCTCATCACAATATTTCCTCAAGTCCAAGACTGATTGAATGTTATGATTTTGCAAAGCATGTAGTTTCCTTATCTGCATTGATTGCAGAGGCTGTTGGCACATGCCAAAAGCAGGAAAGTTTACACTATGTAGACCTAAATCCATATGAGGTGCAAATCTAGCACTTCATTGCTGAGGTGGTATTTTTGTCACCTCATACAGATATTTCAGGGCATGCCCGTGATCGATAAACTTGAAATAGTACTTCTTTTCACCAACTTGCTATTTGTTCACATCTGGGTGTTTTTCTTAATTGATTAGAACATTTTAGAGTAATATTGGGGACTAAGACAGACTTAAATGGAGCAACATTACAGTGAGGATTCATATAGCCGACCCCAAACTTGCCTGGGATTGACGCATAGTTTGTTGTTGTTGTTGATTAAAGCATGCTAAATGATGCAGTCACCTCTTTCTTCTCTTATCGTGTTTATCTTTCTGGTTTTGCTCCTAGTGCTTTCTCTTGGTTGAATTTATCCAGCTCATCACACTTGCCTTCCTTGGTGACTTGGTCTCTCAGAACTAAAGGAAGCATTCTTCATCTAAGTTGCTCGGACTCGGGTGCGGGTGTCCGATACGAGGATGGATCCGAGTATCGGATTCGGCAAAATCCAAATTTTAAGATTCGGGGGTGCGGATCCGGATATGGATACGGGTCCGGGGATTCGCCTAATAAAAAATTGAGCTATAAAAATATTGTAAATTTTGAGAGATATTCTGTGAAAAACTTACATGAATATTGTACAATTCAATCTTTCATTCTTCAAGATGGACATTATTCTTTCATTGTTCTAAATCTGTTTTATTTTTGATTTTGAGAAATCAAAATCTCAATTTTTCTCCCAAATTTGTCGATGGACTCCGGTCAAAGTGTACGAAGTTAGTTGACCGTATCTGGGACGTATCCCGTCCCCGTATGTGTATCCGTCCCGTATCCGGACGGGGACGGCACCAAAATCGAAGAGTCTGCGCAACTTGGTTCTTCATCCCAGCTTCCTCCAAAATCATTACCTGGTTTTGAGATTGTCAGCTGTTAACAATAAGAGCTACTTCTGGATCAAGCCCAATAAGCAATTAAGTTTTCTTTTCGCTGTAAATGACGACCTTGAAAGACTTGTATTTCCACCCTTGTCCTCTGTATTCATTATATGATCCATAAGTCAATTCATAGATTGCCTTCTGCCTTTTATTATTTGTTAGTACTACAAGATATAGAAGAAGCAAGAAGCATATTTTTCCTTTTCTGTTTTTTTTTTAAGTCAAACTCCAAGATCTATATTTCGCTTTTGAACACATCTATTGTTATGCAACTGCTAGCCTAAATTATATGGTATCTTTAACTACAAAGGGCTGAGCCACATGTGCTTATCTTCCTTGGATCGTACTTTCTGGGAAATCTTTGTTCAGGCTACATGTAAGCTTGTATAAATAGGCGCTACATGTCTCATTTTCTGCATTCTCTTGAGTGCCAATTATATGAAAAATGCAATGATGCTGATGAAAATTTGTCACCTCTGCAACGATATTGATATGACTGTCAATTATAATTGCACCTGGAGTTGTATCTGCATTTTATGGAATAGCTGAAGACCTTGAATTAAAGCAGGGTTTCTCCTCACAAGATGAAAGAGCAGTAGAAGACACTGCTTTAGAAAGCACCATTGGCCCCTCGAGCACTCATCTTGATTCCACATGCAACAAAGCTGGCAATACCGTAGGAGAAACAGCAAGCACTGTGCTTGTCAATGCAGTAGGAAAATCAACATACGAAGAGCTTTGCAGCAACAAACAAGACATTGGCAGTAGTGGTAAGGAACTTATTGCCTGTTCTAGTTCTGCTTCTGGAATTGTGTCTATGACCATGGAGTAGCTATTTAGCTGCCAAGCAATGGAACCTAGTTTAACAAAACATTCGGTCCAACTAATGCATCATAACATTAACATGCATCCTAGTCAGGTAAGCGAATTCAGTACCATTACTGCATTCTTTTCTAGTGTAACTTGGAATGTAAGAATCCTGCTTCTTTATATGATTTTGAGGTCCATGTTGAAGTAGTAACAAAAACCCCGTTTTGCAGAAGTATTAAGTGTCCTGCCAGCTGAAGGAGATGGAAATAGGTGGAAAGACATAGGGGAGGACAAGACCTCTACCCAGATGGTTGATGGTGGAAATTCTGGGAGTGAAGTGCAAGCAGGGAGTAACTATCATGTTACCGCTCCACCTCCAACTTCTTCCGCGTGCTCACTACTTACTAATCTCCCTCCCCCTGCAACTCTTCCTTCCTCAAAGCGAGTTTGCCTTGAGCCACCAAGAAGGCGCTTTCCTTGTTATGGCTGGATTGAAAGCGATGATGAAGAAGATGCCGATGACTTCATACAATTACCACCAATGAGACCAACAATAAGGGGTCGTTTGGTTGTCGGTTAGAGTTATGCAGGTATTAGTTATGCAGGGATTAGTTATGCAGGGATAAGTAATGCAGGGATTAGTTATGCAGGTATTAGTTATGCAGAGATTATTTTTTTGAATGTTTGGTTTGTTGTATTAGAAATTGATATACATTATATAAATTTTAAAGTAAAATGCTTGTTTACAACTATACCCCTAACCTTCTTTTGCATTGTTTTTTCTCTCTTTCCATTTATGTAGGAAACAATTTAGTTAGGAACTTTGGGTGTTACTTTCACTTCTTCGTCATACTACTGAACTATGTGAAGTTTAGACATATTTGATTTTCACTTCTTAGTTTTGGTATTTCCATTTTCTAGTGGCTTCTCCAGTTTGCTTTTGCTAGTTTGTTCTTTAAAAATGAGAGAAGACAAGGTATATAGTTGGCAAGTGAAAGCAAGTGAAACCTGTTGACGGGTTGGCAGAGAAATAAGGAAGCCTTATGTGTAAAGTGATAGGGGTAAATTTGTCATTTCAGTATTTTATTCATGTATTACTAATACATGTATTAGTTATTCCATCTTCTACCCCGCATAAAATAATACACAGATTGACTCATAACTTATACATGTATTATTTATGCATAATTGAAAAATGTCAACCAAACATGGTATTAGTTATGCAGAATTTTATAAAAAATAACTATTGCCTACCAAACATGGTATAAGTTATGTTACCCCTTATACATGAATAACCTTTCTTCTAACCAGCTACCACCAAACGACCTCTAAATGCATGGAGATAGTACGACACAAATAGTTGACTTGAAACCAACGGAATCCCCTTTGAGATTGGTTTTGCAATTTAACGCTGTAGCACAATTTGGTTATTTTCTTTTTCTTTTTGAGTTGTTTTATTTTACTTTTTATGACTATTTGACTTTGGTTATAGGAAAACAAAACGGTTTGTTTCCATAAACGAGTTTTATTAAGTATTTGATTGTTCTGTTTTACTTTCAATAGCGTATTTGGACAAAAATATTCAAAGCAGTTGTACAGAAAAACAAAATATTTTGCTTCCTGAAACAAATGTAACTTTCTTTTCTTCTTCTTTTTCTGTCCCATCGGCCCTCTATGCTAGTTCTCTTATTATCGTATTATAGTTACTGCTTGTTTTTCTTATTATTTTGCTGTATTGATTGTTTTTTCTTTCTTTGAGCCGGGGGTCTATCGGAAAAACAGCCTCTACCCTCAAAATAAGGGTAAGGTCTGCGTATACACTATCCTCCCCAGACCCCACTCGTAAGATTATATTGAGTTAGTTGTTGTTTTAAATATTCAAAAATAGAATTTAGTAGAAAAAAGGTTATTTGGTCTATCCTTAGAATTATTAGTTATCATATGAAAGCGTTTAGATTTTCTTAAAGAGTTCTGTAATTTCGTTTGTTTTTTTATAACACTAGTGGTCTTGGAAGCTGTGTTCTAGAATAAATTATAAACACGGCAACACTTTCAAACATAGAATTAGGAGAGTGTTTTTAAAACTAAGTCGTGAGTGATGCGGTCTTCTAAAACAAAATACAAACACCCATGCAGTTTCATTTAAGGCCTTCATAATACGGGAAATAATGTACATTATTCATATATACAAATCCTTTTAAACCAATAAACCTTGGCACTACCTGCTCATCAATCCAATTAAAACTCAAAAAAGAGTAGTGCACATCATGGGATACTTATGAGAAAACTGTGACACGAATAAGTTATATTTTGGTTCAAACTTTTCAATTTTGATCTTTATTATCACTTTAATTATACTGGTAAAAATCAGAGAAAATTTCATTTATCCCTTTAACCTTTTAAGTTAGAAAACAAAATAGCTCCTATACCTCTTCAATGAATAGACAAATCCCCTTAACAATAACGTCAACAGCCAAAATGAGAGTCATTGTTGGAACTTTTAAAATGTCAAAGTTGATTCTCAAATTGAAATATAAATTATTTTGTATTTGAATAAATTAGAATAAGAAAATCTTGGAACAATTAGTTCATTTATAGTGGTAATAATTTAAGTACTTTTATCCAAACATGTAACTATTTAGTATAAAATAAGCTCCAGCATTTAAAAAATATTTTTCACCACCTAGTGCTTAAAAGCTACTTAAATTCAACCAATCCAAACGCGATCTTAGTTTTTTTTTTTTTTTTTTTTTTTTTAAA